CGTAAGAAGTGTCCAACCAGTGTGAATCATCTTTGGGCAATCCTCCAGGAGGCTTGGAGTAATATATCAAGTCAATGTTTGAATAAACTGACTGCTCGGATGCCTAGTGTTGTCCCTTATTATCAATGCAAAATGGACACTAACTAAAGAGGATTTATGCTGATATTGCCCAAAAACCCTATTTTGTTCAGGCGTTTCCAAACTTTTGGAGGGCAGTGTATATGTGTGTGTGTATATATATATATATATATATATATATATATATATATATACAGAAGAGATTTGAAACCAGCTGGCTGAATTATATGGTTGGATAATGTGGAAAATATTGGATGTGAGTATGATTTCTCTGGGTCACTGAAGGACAAACACACACACACACACACACACACAACACACATACATACATACACACGTGTGTGTGTGTGTGTGCGTGTTCATTCCAAGATTTGAGATAATTGACTTGCAATCCCAATAAATGCTTCCATGCTTTTGAATCCCTAAAGGGATTAGGGACTAGGAGAAAAGCAGGAACACTCTTGTTCCCTTAATTATCTTGTTAAAACAGACTAACTACATCATGGTAGTAAAATAAATTCAGGGGAAATGACTCAGGAGCTTTTATATATTACATGAACATAGAATTCTACGCATTCAGTTAATTAAAATTCATCTTTTTTTTATAATTGCCCCCTCTCCTTTGCTCCCTCTCTTGGTGTTTCACTTTCTCAGTCCGACTTTAAGCTTTTAATCTTGGTCCCTCTTTTATAGAGTTTATATAGATGTCATAGCCTTCTTTCTCCAGATAAGACAAGCAAAAAAAAAAAGAGTTCAGCAAAACATTTATGAAGTAATTTAGCAAAAAGACCTGCTAACAAAAAGACAAGGTATACAACATTGCTGTCTATCTACAGTATGTTCAAATGTTTTGCTAATATGAATGAAAAAACATTAATACGGTGTTAAAATTGGATCAGGGTTCCGAATAATGCATTCCAGACGACTCAATATATCAGAATTTCCCATATCCTACTAGTAAAAGTACAAACCTATTAAGCACCAGGACCTCCATGGATGTCTATTACTGGGCCTGACTTAATGATGACTTCTTGTGAAAACTGTGATGAATTTACTGGTTGCACAATTGCATTATTTGTCCATATAGTACACAATAATAGAAGGGATTTGTTTATGATTGTACTATCCATTGCACCCAAATGAGGATGGGTTCCCTTTTGACTCTGGTTCCTCTCAAGGTTTCTTCCTCATATTGTCTCAGGGGGTTTTTCCTCTCCACCGTCGCCTCTGGCTCGCTCATTAGGGATAAATTCACATATTTACAATATATTTTTTTTAATCCAGTGCTTCGTAAATCACCATACACACATTCATTCACACCTAGGAGCAATTTAGCATAGCAAATCAACCAACATGTTTTTTGGAGGTCGGAGGACCCGGAGAAGCTGGATGCACACATGGGTGGAAGAAACCAGTGAAGATGCAACACTGGCTTTAATTAATATGAAAGGAGTCTCCAGTGTCAGCGCTTTGTAACATTCAATACATTTTCTACCACAGCAAAGTCTTCAAGAAAGAGGGAATGAAGGTTTATAGCTGCTATAATGTAAGTGATAACAGGAATGAACTTGTCTTGCAGATGTACCACATTAAATGTGGTTATAAATGGTTACAAAAGGATGATGTTTTGTTCATGAATAAATTAAAACCTGTAATTGTTTGCGAATTACTATCATATAAGAGGAATAAAACACATCAGTATATGCTGTTATAAGAAAATAATCCACTTCAGGGGTAACAGTAACTCTAGCTCACATCTGGCTGTATCACACCACGCCGTTGTTCCCACATCTGGCTGTATCACACCACGCCGTTGTTCCCACATCTGGCTGTATCACACCACGCCGTTGTTCATTATTTTCCTATAAATGCATGCTCCCAAGTGTCCCAATCTTTCTTTGTTTTCTTCATATTAAAAACTTTTACGTGGCCCAAAATTTAGATGATCCATTACAGGTGGCAAAGACGTGTCGCTGGGATTAAATACTACTTAATCTTAGAGTTTTTTGTTCAAAAATTGTAATTGTTACAAATTTGCAAGTATAGTTTTCAGAGTTACTAAATATCAGCGTCTTTGTAGGTGCATCTGTAATGATTTGCGACTGGAGGTTGGACAAATCAAGTACGACCGTCTCACGTCTGATTTTGTTTAGAGTTAAAATATGCCGTGGTGATTAACGGGATACATTTTAAAAGTGAAAATAAACTTCCGTTAGCCTAACACAGTCTAGAATGATGAAGAACTTCTAACCTTCTCAAGAGTTGCAAAAAAAGAAATTTTGGAATATTTGAGATTGCTTATCACAGCCCACTTTAATGTGACGGGGAATGTTTTATCACATGCTTCTCAAGAGCTATGGTGCATAACTGCAAAGAGATGGACTAAGAGAGAGAGAGAGAGATAAAGAGAGAGAGACTACTTATCCATGCTCTTTATAGGCCATCCAGTGCAATACTTCAGCTTCACACTCTTGCGTCTCTGAGTCTAGTTGAAATTGCGGCCTTTGCTTTGGTCTCTTTACAGATTAGTCTGGACAGATGCAGTGCTTCATATCACAGTCCGGACACTCCAGCAGCCTGAGAGAGAGAGAGAGAGAGAGAGAGAGAGGGAGGGGAGGGAAAAGTGTGAGATAAAAGGGGAGAGATAGGGAGAGATGGCAGCAAAGAGGCAGAGCAAAAATTTGAAGACAAGTGATTGAAAGAGAAACGAGATAGAGCGTTACATAGATTGTTAGACGGAGAGACGGTGGTGTGTGTGTGTGTGTGTGTGTGTGTGTGTGTGTGTGTGTGTGCGTGTTGAGCCTGT